ACATGGACAAGCTTATGGCTACCCAGCCGGTCAGCAGATGACCCAAGCTTCTGACTGACTCCAGGGCACTTTCCGCTGCCATTAAGCTTACAGTTAATTTGGGAAACCAGTTCCACATTTTTCCCAACCTTTTTTTTTTTTTTTTCATTTATTGATTTTAGGGAGAGAAGAAGTGAGAGGGAGAGAGAGATAGAGACATCGATGAGAGAGAACATCGATTGGCTGCCTCCTGCATGACCCCCACTGGGGATCTGGCCCACAACCTGGGCATGTGTCCGGATCTGGAATTAAAATGGCGACCTCTTGGTGCATGGATCAATGCTCAACCACTGAGCCACACCAGCGGGACCCAACTTTTTTTTAGCGGGAGGGAGAGAGGGAGGAAGAGAGAGAGAAACATCGATGTGAGACAGACACATGGAATGGCTGCCACCCACATGATCCGAACCGGGGCCGGGGACAAACTGCAACCGAGGTACGTGCCCTTAGTGGGAACCAAACCCAGGACTCTCCGATCCCCAGGCCAACGCTCTAACTGCTGAGCCAAATGGGCAAGGACTTTCCCAACCTTTTGATGCTGGACACAAATCTGTTGCCATGACTTTTGAGCGTCATGTTACTTGTGAAAGGTTCTGGATGATGAACATCAAAACAAAAGGGACTCTGCCCTGCCTGGGTAGTTCAGTTGGTTAGAGTGTCAACCCAATATGCCAAGGTTTTGGGTTTAATCTCTGGTCAGAGCACATATGAGAAGCAATTAGTGAATGCATGAGTAAGTGGAACAACAAATTGATGTTTCTATCTCTCTCCTCTCCAAAATCAATCAATCAAATTTCTTTTAAAAAAAGGGACTTTAGCCCTGGCCAGTTTGGCTCAGCGGTTAGAGCATCGGTCTGTGGTCCAGAGAGACCCGGGTTTGGTTCCCGCTAAGGGTGTGTACCTCGGTCGCAGTTTGTCCCCGGCCCTGGTTGGGTCATGCGGGTGGCAGCCACTCGATGTGTCCCTTTCACATCGATGTTTCTCTCTCTCTCTCTCCCTCCCACTCTATCTGAACAAAAAATGGAAAAATGTCCTTGGGTGAGGATAAAAAAATAAATAAAATAAAAAAGGGACTTTATCAGTGGAAGCTTTTGGTTTACAAAGGACTGAAATCATGACTCAAATTAGCTTAAAAAATATAATAAAGCAGAGGAGAGGTCAAAGGCATCTGACTCAGGTACGGCTGGATCCAAGTGCTTAAACAATGTTGTCAAGGCATTGACCATCTTTCTGGGATCTCCTCTCTTCTGTTTTGGTTTCATTCACAAACAAGCTCCACTGCTGTGTGGCAAAAATGATTCCTGGCAGTTCCAGGCTTACACCTTATAGCACATGGAGAGTAACTCTGCTTATATTTCAAAGTCCCAGGGATGACTCTCATTGGTCTCACTTGAGCCACATGTCTATTTCTGAAACAATCACCATTGACAGGGGGAGGAAAATGCTCTGATCAACAGGGCTGAGTTGGCCCTGGGGTCCTGGCATATGAACTGGGAGTGGGGGAGGATCCATCTACCTCAAAAAACTGAAGTGCCACATCCAGAAGGGAAGCTGGATGCTGAGTGGGCAGAATGTAGATGCCACTTGTAGCAGGGCTTCCACTTTAGGGGATGTCAATCCACTTCCATTCCCACCCCAATTCAAGTCCTAGAAACAGAAGCTTAGGTGGTTCCTTCGCCTCTTTCTGATCAGGGCCAAATGCTGAATAATTTTCTGCTGTGCAATGAACGAGAGTGTATGTTTTCACTCATCTGTTGGTAAATATTTAAGTTTCCACCCTTTGGCTGTTGTGGAGAATGCTGTTGCGAACATGGGTTGGGTGTACAAATCTCTGAGTGCCTGCTTTCAATTTTCTTGGGTATATGTTTAGAGTGGAACTGCTGGGTCACAGCAATTTAACTTTTTGAAGAACCACCAAACTGTTTTTGAAAGACTGCTGCACCATTTTACATTCCTACCTATATGTCTTTTTGCATTTTGAGAAATGAAAAACAGGCAGAAAATTACATTGAAGAGATTCTTTTTTTAGGGGTGGGGTTCATTTTATTACATGCAGAAAATTTAGACATTGTTTTTAATTACATGCTAATCAAAGATCATCATCAATTTTATTTTTTTTATTACTCAACAAATAGGTCCCTTTATATATGTTTTTATTAAAATTTTTTTAATCCTCACCCGAGGATATTTTTCTATTTATCTTCAGATAGAGTGGGAGGAAGGCAGAGGGAGAGAGAAAGAGAAACATTGATGTGAGAGGGACACATCGACTGGTTGGCTCTGCACGACCCCGACCAGAGCCAGGGACGAACCGCAACAGAGGTACGTGCCCTTGCTGGAATCGAACCAGTAACCACGGGCCAACACTCTAACCACTGAGCCAAACCGGCCGGGGCTGATTTTTATTTCTTTAGAGAGAGAGGAGGGAGAGATAGAAACACTGATGTGAGAACTATCCATCAGCTGCCTCCTTCACCAACCCCCTGGGGATCCAGCCTGCAACCCAGGCATGTGCCCTGACCGAGAATTGAACCAGGACCTCTCAGTCCATGGGACAATGCTCAATCCTCTGAGGCACACTGGATTGGCAACAAACGGGTCCTTTTAGACCTGGATTTTTTTTCTTTACTTAGAAATGGGGTTAAACCAGGGTTTTGCATCTTCTGCACTGTGCACGTATTCGGCTGGTTCTGTTTAAGGGGAGCATCCTGTGCATAGTAGGGGGCTAAACGGCATTCCTGGCCTCCAGGTTTTGATGCTAGGTGTACCTCCCAGTCGGGATAGCCACAAATGTCCCCAGACATTGCCCAGTGGCCCTTTAGGGTGGGGTGGGATAACTGCTCCTGGTTGAAAAGTCACTGGTTTAAATCTTTTAAACTAGAATGAATAACTGGATTTGTTCATAAAATAAGCATGTTTTGTTTAGAGAGTCAAGAAGTCCCCTTCGCCTACTGTACAGATAGGAAAACTGAGGCCAGGAGTCAGCCAGAATTAGAATCTAGCTCCATCCAGTGGGGCAGCCCCTCCAGAACTGCGTGGCAACAGCAAATTAAGCTCGGTGAATGACTGCAGCGGGTGTCATTTGTCCCTCTGACTCAGTCTCATTTTCTTTTCTTTCTATCCTCACCCAAGGACATTTTTCCATTTTTTGTTCAGATAGAGTGGGAGGGAAGGAGGGAGGGGGGAAGGGGGGAAGAGGGAGAGGGAGAGAGAGGGGGAGGGAGAGAGAGAGAGAGAGAGAGAGAGAGAGAGAGAGAGAAACATCGACGTGAAAGGGACACATCAAGTGGCTGCCTCCCGCATGACCAACCAGGGCCGGGGACAAACTGCAACCAAGGTACGCGGGAACTGAACCCGGGTCTCTCTGGACCACAGGCCGATGCTCTAACCACTGAGCAAAACCGGCCAGGGCTCAGTCTCCTTTTCCACTGACTACCCAAAAGGCTGAGTGTCATCGACCGGGGGTTGCAGGGAAGGTTTCCACTGTGAGATACCCAGGGTAAAGAAAGCTCTCGGAGCCGACATCAGGAGGTATCAGCATCAGCTACTTTATTCCAATACCTTTTATATCATCGAGCAGTGGGATGATATAAATGGGGCGATGCATGGCACATGTGTCCTAGGTCTTGCAGTATCAAGCTTATGTAAGGGTTCTGTTACATAAGAAAATATGGTCTGCGCTTGTGCAGCCAGTTCCGGAGTCATGGACTGAACCACCGCCTCTATCGGCAACAAGCCAAGTTCCTGGGTCCTCACAGTCCACCCCCTAGATGCTGGGGTGTTGGGACTTGACCATAAAGTATTTCCCAATGCACAGAGCACACAACAGTAGTAAAGGGTGCAGCACATAACCAAGAGACCACCAGCAAGGCTCACCAAAGTCACTAAGAATTCCCATCAAGGAATTCCCCAATTTGGTCCACCATTGTGTCAGGGGTCTTCCTGGAGAGCCTGTATTGCTGAAACTTCAGCATCCATTGCTCTTAAAGATTCCTGTATTTGCTGCTGGTGGTCTGGGATATAGACACAGCATTCTACATGCAAAAGGGCACAAGTTCTTCCCTGTATACTGCCCAACTATCAGTGCACATGACTCTTTCATTAACACTATCCACATAGCTCATAGTTCAACCCATTGACTCCAGAGTCTGGCTCCCGTATCATACCAAAAAGCATCTGTAGCCAGTTGCAAGCCACTGCTGCCCACGTTGGCAGTTGGCCCCGGCAAGAACCATCAGTATACCAGATGTCTGCCAGAGGGGGAGACTTTCCTTCTTCAAAGGGGCTGGGGCTTTCTTCTGCTTCTGCAGAGGGCTCTTCCCATTCTGCTTTAAATTAGATAGGTCCTAGCAAGGAGTGCAACTCCTGTATTAAAGGGTTGGTAGAGAACCGGGCTCTCTGTTCCAAGTACGTTCCCCACTTTTTCAAAGCGGGGTTTGGGCCACTCCCACGCGTGGTTGGGTAGCCCACGACCGGAGCCACCCCTCCACTGGGTAGGCTGTTTGTACTGTGTCAGGACAAGGACCAGTGATACTTTCACTGGCCAATAGGCCTGCATATACCACTGTCAACAGCTTTCCAATAAGAGAGTACCGACTTTCAGCTCCCTTCCACAATTGGGACCAAAACCCAATAGGGCTTTTCCAAGCCCCTTGTTTCTGCCAGAGGCCCCTGTACAGTCAGGAGAAATGGCAAAGCTGGATCCACAACTCGTAATATCTGCGCTTGGGCCACTGCCCATTTTGTAGCCAGAAACGCTTGCTCCACCTCGGGGGACCAGTCCCAGGCCTCCCTCTTATGGACCACGCAGTGGAGGGGTTTTATCAGGATGGCTAAATGGGGTATAAAGGTTAGCCAGAACCCTAGTAGTCCCAAGTATGTCTGCAATTGTTTCACTGTTTCTGGTCGGAGATAGGCTTGTATCTTATCCATAATCACCTCTAGCATGACCTTCATCTTACCTGACCAAACAACACCCAAGGACTTGACAGAGTTTCCAGGCCCTTGGACTTTGTCCTTGTTGATGGCCCACCCCTAGCCTGCCAGGGCATCTCGAAGGCTGCGTGCTCCAGCATCTAGCTCTGCAAGAGAATCAGAAATTAACATTATATCATCAATATAATGGAACAGGTATACATGTGAAGGTTTGTCCCAGGACACTAAGTCCTGGGCTACCAAACCATGACAGAGCATTGTACTATGTACTTGGGGTAGGTAGTACTCGGGACCATCCGTTGCTTTCCTTCCCAGGTAAAGGTGAACTGTTCCTAGCTCTCAGGGTCAGTGGGTCTATGAGAAAAAGGTATTAGCCAAATCCACAACATAATGAAACCATCTGATTCTTGTGACAAGTGGTCCATCAATTCAGTGATATTGGGTACTGCCGCATGTAAGGGCAGGGTAACCTTATTCAGTTCATAGTAGTCCACAGTTATCCTCCATGCACCATCAGGCTTTTGTACTGGCCACACTGGGGAATTATAGGGGCTATGCGTCGGGCGAATAATCCCTGCTTCTTCCAGTTTTAGAATGGTTCGTCCGATTTCTTCATGGCCCCTGGGATAGTCGGTACTGTTTCATGTTGACTACCCAAGTTTTGCAGGAGCCTCAAGGGAGCGTGGTGTGGGTGGCCTCTAATAACTGTCTTTACCACACTCACCTATAGACAAAATTCACCCTGCGTAGTTTGGACTGCAAGGCCTTGTAGAACATCTACTCCCAGTATATATTCAGCAAATGGCGAAATATACACCTCATAGTGGGTTGGTGGCAAACATCCGACACCCAATGTAAGGGTAACTTAACGTACTCGGATTTGCCTTCCACCATATCCCCCTATCATGGCACTAGGGCCCTGGAAATGGTCCAGATTCCCATAAATCAGGGTAGAATCCGCCCCTGTATCCATGAGGGCCAAAACGCGTTGACCAGTAAACGCGTTCCGGGTGGACCAGTAAATAGTCACTTCTACATAAGACCTCCAGTCATCTGGCTCCCCCACCAACTGGGTGCCTTGGCCCAACCCCTAATGAGGCAGGTAGTTAGCCTCTCATTTCTTAGTTACAGAGGGCAGGGGAGTGTATTGTTTTTCAGGGCGCAGCTTCCACCAAAGCTAACAGCTATCTTCTCCTTGGCCAGCCCAGCTGCCAGTAGGTCACACCACAGCTGACACTGGCTTAGCTTCATTGGCCCATTCTTGGGTCCGCGGCAGGTCCCCTTACCTGTGGCATTTGTAGCCAGCCTGGCCCAAGATTGCTTAGTCTTGCCTTCCGTAAGCCCCGTAGCTGTGCTACCTGGCCTTGTTTTCACACTTTCTTTCTTTTTTTAAAAAAATATTTTTATTTATTGACTTTAGAGAGAGGAAGGGAGAGAAGTAGGGAGAGATGGAAACATTGATGAGAGAGAACATCGACTCGCTGCCTCCTGCATGCCCCCTACTGGGAATTTGGCCCACAACCTGGGCAAGTGCCCTGACTGGGAATTGAACCGGCAACCTCTTGGTGCATGGGTCGATGCTCAACCACTGAGCCACATCGGCTGGGCTTGTTTTCATACTTTCACATCCCCCAGCTGCGCCAAGGCAGTGGTTACTTCACGGACCAGGCGATCCGTGTAAGGGGCGAACAAAGTTGTCATAGTCCCAAAAGTCCCTGAAGGGCCATTCGCTAGCACCATGTCCTTCACGCGAGCCATAAACAGCTCTTCATCAGGGCTGCTGTACTGCTGTGCAATCATCTGGCTCGTACCCATCTCCCGTATGACTTGTACTAAATCCAAGTAGTAGTCCACTTACTCACGTGCTCTGGGAGATCTCCAGCATTTTCCCACACCGTTCTGGCAGCTGCCATCAACCAATTGACCAGTGTCCTGTTACTGGTTACTGCTGCCGCAGCAAGGGCATGGTGGTAATACTGGCCAATTGCCTCATCTCCATGGGGCTGAGCTCAGTATTGTTTGTACCATCATCCCATAAGCACAACAGCCAAGGTGGAACAGACTCCCCCAACCACTGCTTACACTGCTTCGCTAAGTCCCTTAACTCCATGGCAGAATACGTTGTATAAAATGTATGCCGGGCCCTGGCCGGTTGCCCAGTGGTTAGAGCATTGGTCACAGGACCAAAGAGTCACAGGTTCGATTCTGGTCAAGGACATGTACCTCAGTTGAGGTTCGTCCTGGGCCCTGGTAGGGGTCGTGCAGGAGGCTACCAGTCGATGTGTCCCTCTAACGTTGATGTTCCTCTCTCTCTACCCCTCCCTCCCACTCTATCTGAAGATAATATAGAAAAATATCCTTGGGCGAGGATTAAGAAAAAAAAAAGTATGCCAGGTCGACTGCCGAGGTCCTGCCAGAGGTCCTGCCAACCCCGCTCCCGTTGCTAACCCTTCCGGGCAGGACTGCTAGGGGTTAGAAGTCACAGCTGACTCAGCCGGATCCAGAGCATGCGCTCAGCCACCGCCAGGCGCTGCTCCAAGTCCTCCTCCTTCCACTGTAGCTGCTGCACTTGATTCGTGAGGTTCTGGATGTCTCGACTGGCATGACGCAAGACTGCCAGGAACATCCAGGCGACTCGACCTGCGGCCTCACCATGCGCCCTGGGAACATTTGGTTCCAGCATTTCCAAAGCATTCCGAACCTCTTCAAGCCGGGAAAGTGAAGCGTCCCAATCTTCCCAGCTCGTCCAGGCTATTAAGTACGCGGCCACCGGGTACCAGAGGGATGCTGGGGCCACATCCCATCCACCTGGAGCTGCTCCTCTCTAGGGGCTGTACTCACCTCATCCTGCCGACTATGCCAAGCGTCATGCACCGGGGGTTGCAGGGGAGGTTTCCGCAGTGAGATGCCCAGGGTAAAGAAAGCTCTGGGAGCCGACATGAGGAGGAATCAGCATCAGCTACTTTATTCCAACAGCTTTTATATCATTGTGCTGTGGGATGATCTAAGCAAGGCGGTGTGTGGCACATGCGTCCTAGGCCTTGCAGTGTCAAGTTGATGTTACATAAGAAAACGTGGTCTGCACTTGCGCAGCCAGTTCCAGGTCGTGTCCTGAACCACCGCCTCTATCGGCAACAAGCCAAGTTCCTGGGTCCTCACACCAAGTTTCGCCACCTGACCCTTTGGGTCTCGAGCCCACAAATCCAAGCACATACGGCACTCCTGCGGGACACGGGACTCGCGGTCGGGATAGGGGTGAGCGAGGCGGCGGGCGGCCCTGTGGGGATTGTAGTCCCGGCGCCGCCTCCCCCAGGCGCCAATCCCGACCCTGGAACTACGCTCCCGTCGTGCCCCGCGGTGCCAAGCGGAGGCGGAGAGGGCAGGTCGGTTGCTAACGCTTGGGGAAGTGCAGCGCTCGCGCCTGTCTCATTAGGTAAGCGCGCGTCCTCGGGATCTTGTTCTCTCCTGCCCTAGGCTCCCGCGGAGGGCGGGTGAGGACGGCCGCGGGGGTCTTGGCTTTGGGGGACGCCGGCCGCGCTAGGGCGAGGGGGCAGCCGATCCGCATTTCCCGGCGTCTCGGGCGGGCCGGACAGCAGTGAGTACGCGCGTGCGCGCGGCGCGGCTGCGCCTCGGGACTCGGCTCCTTGGGCCCACCGCCTTTCTGCGCGTGCGTAAGCCCCTGAAGCGTGGCAGGTAAACCCCGTGCGTCCATCTTTGCCGGTGCACCCTACCTTCGGGTCATCGGGACCAGCTTCCGCGAGCTTTATGGGAGGGTCGCAATTTTTCTATTAGGCCTAAACATTGATGATCCTTGTTGATACTTATGGAAAGTGTGAGTTTTCAAGGCCTTTTCTTATCCGGATCCCGGGATAAGGGGTCTGTCCCACACCTCATGAGCCCAAGGTTCTCGAACTTTCATGCACAGAAGGCCCACGTGTAGGGTGCCAGGTCTAACAATCTAGCAAATAAACACTCAGCCCCCCAACCCCCCGTTAAATTCTAATTCCACAAACAACGAATAATATATATATTTTTAGTATAAATATGTCCTAAAGATCGCAGGGGACACACTTTTACTCAAAAATTCTCCACTCATCTACAATTCGAATTTAACGGGGTGTGTTATGTGTTATGTGGTGACCGCTTGTTAGAAATGCAGATTGTGGCCCCCTCCCCTTTGTGGGGCCAGGTCCTAGAAACTGCATTAGAAATTGTGGGTGCCTCTGAGGCTCTGGCACTGGTTGCTCCTTCTGTTTAGGTCTCCCTACTCTTTGCCTGCCTTCCAGGCCCTTCTGTGGGTCACTGCCTCTGAAGAGCCCTCCTGCTGCGGCAGACGGGGACTGGGCCCCAGAGGGACTGTGGGGTTGTTTACCAACCCAGGACAGTTCTTGGCTTCACTCACTTTTGGCCCCTACCACCCTGCATGGTGGTTGGTGATGGATTCCCATTTCACAGAGGGGAAAGCTTCAATGGGGGTCAGTCAGGCAACCTAGCCAGGACACTGCCAGGTGCAGGCTCTGGCCTTCCTAATCCAAGGATAAGTTAGGCCTTCTACCTGAGATTTATATTTTTGCTTGCAGAACCTGACTCAGCTCACTGAATAAGCACCATTTCTCATGTCCCTCCCAGAGTCAGAGTCCACTCTTGTTGCCCTCCCCTCTCCCAGCATGCTGCTGCCCAGTGTCCCCAGGAATTCCAGCACACACCTGTTTGCCAGTTTGGTGCCTTGGGGGAACAGGTGGTCTTAAGCTGCTGAGGGGACTTGCAGATAGGGGTCCATCTCCCTGGTCTACCAGACCTCCAGGGGCTGCCAGTGTAGTTGAGCCTCTCTCGCCCTGGACAGTTGGCACTCAGGGCAGAGGCACCACCACCACTATAAATGTGACCAGGTTGTCTGAAGAGGCTGTGGCCTACCCCTGGAGACCAGCGCACAGGCGTTTTTATGAGGCAACTATAGCTGCAGGCAGAGGAGATGGATATACCCAGAGAAGGGACCAAGCTGAGCAGGACCTTGGAGAGCTCAGAGGAGAAGGTCGAGGGGGCAGATCCCAGATGTGTTTAAGCAAAAATGTTTGTGCAGGTTCTGTTTGCAGGTGGACTGGTGCTCCCTGTTGGTCTTTTGGGGTAGGGGACTTGGGTAGATCACCCTCTGCAAAACCTGTTTCTCATCTGTAGAGTGGGCTCAGGACCCCTGTCTTGCAGAGGGACTAAGAAGGCAGAGTTGGTAAGCTGGTGAGCACCAGCCATATGCCCTGGTCAAGATCCTCCACTCAGGGAGCCTGGTCTTGTCCTGTGGAAAGGGGAAAGTCCCAGATTCTTCCTCCCAGGTTGTTGGGAGGAGTAGGGGAGCCCATTCACGGAAATATGAGGACACATGGTATTACATAAAGGTAACTGTCATCTGAGGTGCTGGGCCTTGTTTGGGGTCTGCTGACCTAGTTACTACCAGATATCCTTTCCCCTCCCCATTTTCTTTCATAGTAGCTTTACTGAGATACAGTTTATATACTGTGCAGTTCACTCATTTGGCGCATATGTGTTAGCAGTTTTTAGTACAGTCAGTGTTGTGAAAATGTCATCCAGAACATTCCATCACCCCAAAAAGAAACCTGTCCCCATTAGCAGTCACCCTCACCGGCCTCTTTCCTCAGTTCCTGATAACCACTAATCCACTTTCTGTCTCTCTGGATTTGCTTGTTCTGAACATTTCACAGAAATGGAATCTTACACTGTGTAGCCTTTTGTGTCTGATTTCTCTCACTGAGCATCATGTGTTCAGTGTCATTCTGTTGAGTGTCAGTGTCTCGTTTCTTTTCATGGCTGCATAATATTCCAGTGTATATGTGGACCACATTGTGTTTGTCCATTGTCTGTTGATGGTCACTGGTTGCTTTCACCTTTTGGCTGTTGTGAATCCTGCTGCTGTGAACATGCATGTACAGGTTTCTGTGTGGGTGTGGGTGTTCACTTTTTCTGGGCAAATACCTAAGAGTGGAGGGGAGTTGCTGGGTCAAATGGTGACATCTGTGATATTTATTCATCCTCCCTAGAGCCCAGCCAGACATCCCACAGGCAACCTCCATTATTTGTTGCTTGTTTTGTTTTGGTCAGACAGAGACTGCAGTTTTAGAGGGACAAACAAGACTGTATCTGTCTTTTGCCCTACAGACAGTGAAGCTTTTGTGGTCTGGGCAGGTTGTGTGAGGCATGGGGTCCTAGGCATGGTGTGTTCCGGGAGCAGATTCAGAGTCAATGTTGTGGACTCTCCTGTGGGCCCTGCCCAGCACAGGCATTGTGGGCACATGAAGGGTACCCTTCACGTGTTCCACTTCTCATGGTTGCCATTGGCACCCTGATTCAGTATGTTTGTTAAACTTGTATTGTGAGCCTAGGACACATTGTGGTGGGCAAGGACCTCATGTGCCCTCTGAAGGACCTGGCCAATAAATAAATGGGGGCACATGGGGCTTAGGAGCAAGCATGGGGCACTTCATGAGTAGTAAAAGCCCACAGTTATAAAATGATTTCAACACTTTCTTGTCAGCCCCTGGACTAAAGGGTCATGGGTTCGATTCCTGGTCAAGGGCAAGTATATGAGTTGCTGATTTGATTCCTGGCTGATTGATGTGTCTCTCTCACTTCAATGTTTCTGTCTCTCTCTTTCTGTCTCCCTTCCTCTTTCTCTAAAAATCAATAAAAAACTATTAAAAAAGAAAAAGGAAAAAAAAAAGTCAATGGCGGTTTAAACTCTGCAAACCAGGAGTTGGTGGGACCTGAGTGAGAGCATGACCGGTGATGCATTTTACTTGGGCTGGAGCTCTTGGATGAGCCCTCAGATTCGGCACACTCCTAGGATGGACTCCTCGGCTCATCCGGGCCTCCTGTGGCTGACAGATGATGCTGTGCTCCGATCTCTGTCTCCCACAGTCAGAGTCCTGCCAAGGATGGACCCCCTGGGTGGCATGGAGCAGCAGTGTGAGGATGAGAAGGCCCCGAGACCAAATCGAGAGCCCACGCTGTGGCAAGCCCTTCCTGTTCTGTCGGAGCAGCAGTCTAGGGACGTGGAGCTGGTGCTGGCCTATGCAGCGCCCATCCTTGACAAGCGCCAGACCTCACGTCTCCTCAAGGAGGTGTCAGCTGTCCACCCATTGCCTGACCAAACTCACCTTAAAAGGGTTCGGCCAAGCCGTGATGCCAGCCGTCCACACTTGTTGGAGATACTGCTATGCCTGGCAGAGCCAGCTGCAGGCAAGCGATCACTGGCTGAGCTCCTTCCACAGCCAGCAGTGGATCCCCGAGGCCTGGGGCAGCCCTTCCTGGTGCCTGTGCCTGCCTGGCCGCCCCTGACCAGGGGCCAGTTTGAGGAAGCACGTGCCCACTGGCCCACATCCTTCCACGAAGACAAGCATGTGACCCGTGCCCTGGCTGGGCGGCTTTTCTCAGCACAGGAGCAGGTCGAGATGCAGGGCCACATGGAGCGGGCTGTATGGATGGCGCAACAGGCAGCCACCGGGGGCCTGAGGGCTGTGGGGGCTGTGGTGGTGGACCCGGCCTCAGGCCAGGTGCTTGCCATGGGCCATGACTGCAGTAGCTCAGCCAACCCCCTGTTGCATGCCACCATGGTGTGCATTGACTTGGTGGCCCAAGGCCAGGGTCAAGGCACCTATGACTTCAGGCCCCACCCTGCCTGCTCCTTCGCCCCAGCCTCGACCCACCAGGGCATCCAGGCCGTCTCTGTGCGTACACTGAATGAGGACATGGACATGGACGAAGACGGCCTCCCCTATGTGTGTACTGGTTACGACCTCTACATTACCCGTGAGCCCTGTGCCATGTGTGCCATGGCCATGGTGCACTCCCGTGTACAGCGTGTCTTTTATGGGGCACCCTCTCCTGATGGTGCCCTGGGCACCCGCTTCCGCATCCATGCTCGGCCTGACCTCAATCACCGTTTCCAGGTGTTCCATGGCGTGCTAGAAGCCCAGTGCCGCCAGTTGGACCCCGACACATAGATGCTATGCTTGCTGGCTCCAGACTGTCCTTTGTTCTGCCAGCCTCAGCCTCCTCTCAGATCCACTTACGCCCTGGCTCCCTCATTGTTGTCCAGGGGCTGCGATCCTATCTGTGGATTTCAGGGACACACCTGCCAGCCCTGGAACCCGTGCCCATACCTTTCCCACTGGTGTGTGGGCTGCATTTCTGCAAGATTTTTCCTGGGCTGGAGCTTAATGGGGGCCCAGCTGGGCCTTGTTACTGGGCACTCAGGCCTCCCTCCTTCAACTGCCTTTACCCTGAGCCCACTGGTCCACTGGGATTGTGTCCCCTGTATCTCAAGTCTGACCTGTGAAAATAAACACAACCCTCAAACCAGGTTGGTGTCTGTTGACAATTGTGGGGCTGCTTCCATTGAGGGCCTGGGTGTATACAGCAGGAGGGGAGCTTCTGAATCAAATGTGTATGGCTGGCTAGGGTGTGTCTGGACTCAGCTGATCAAAGGCTCCTTTGGGACTATCCCTTTTCTGCTCTTTCTCAGGTGGCCAGAGGGGTCTCCAAAGGCTGATGCCACATAGCATTCAGCACTAGAACCAACTTGTTTGTGTGGGACTTGGAGTAGGCTGTTTGTCCATCCAGCAACCATGCACTGTCTGACCACAAAGGCACTGTAGGGACTTCAGGACATCCCTGTCCCAAGCTGACCCTTATGTCCCTGGGGATGCTCCAGCCTGTGGGGGCAGGGCAGGTGGGGCTCTACCTGACAGCCAGTGCACTGGACAGACAGACATTGGTGGGGCATGAGCCTGCCAGGCCTGCAGGGAGAGCCAGCCAGGGCAGGACAGAGGGTCTCATTGGGGACATCGATAAGCAGAAGGGTGGGCTCCATGGAACTCACCATCACTGGAACCTTCTAGCCTGGACTGTAGGTGAGGAAGACGTTCCCAGTGCAGAGCCTAAAGCATGGCTCCTGGCCCCCTTTGGTGCCAAGGGTTCCTTGGAGCTTCACGTGAGTTGCAGTGGGGTCCTTGGCCTTGCGAGGCTCATAGAGGTGAAAACTAAAGACTAGAGAGGTTGTGTGAGCCCAGTCTTGATTTGGAGGTTGGGCACCGCAGCCATAATTAGGCGCTCATGAGCTATCTGTGGATAAAGGGTGGGAGAGGATGATGTGGCAGGAGGGCAGTAGGGGTGGTCACTGGGATCCCAGGAATGTCCTGACTCCAAGCTGGCCTATGGATGGCCCAAGGCTGCAGCCTGACCCTTCCCCTCCCACCATTGCAGATACTGCTCAAGGGGTTCTGAGGTGAGGTGATGACTGGGGTCACATGTTTAAAGTGGTCTTTTGGGCAAGAGCCCAGATACCCCTGTGGATAGTCTGGAGCTTAGTCCTGCAGCTGGTGTCAGGGTCAGCTGGCAGCCATGGAGACCCCCTGACTGTTGCTGTTTCCCCTCCAGGTGGCTGCAGGCTTCAGCCTCTCCGGGTCATCACATTGGAAATGTCAGGTGAGTCTTTCCTGGGGGCCCTGGGGTTTGTGTCTCTGTTCCTCTGAGAAGTTTCCCTAGGTGGCCAGACCTATTGCGACCTCTGCAAGTATCTACCTCACATTCCTCTCACATTGGCTATTGGAGTTGCCTCGTGATACTGGAGGTGCTCAGTTTCTTTCTTTCTTTTTTTAAATATGTTTTTATTGATTTTAGAGAGGAAGGGAGAGGAAAAGAGAGATAGAAACATTAATGAGAAACACTGATCAGCTAGCTGCCTCCAGCATGCCCCCTACTAGGGATTGAGCCTGCAACCTGGGCATGTGCCCTGACTGGGAATTGAACCAGGACCTCTCAGTGCATGGGACAACGCTCAATCCAGTCAGCCACACTGGCTGGCCAGGGCTTTTTTTTTTTTTAACTTTATTTTTATGGTGCTCAGTTTCCACATGAGTTGTCAGCTGATGTTTGGCCCAGCCAGATCTTCCGCCTGGGGCTTGCTTTATTGTTGACACCACAGGTAGACAATGAGGTTTGGTCACCTTGGTTCATGCCTATACACCTAAGGCATTTCCTTATGAAGGCTGCAGTGGTGCCTGCCTTATCCTGCTTGGAAATGGCAGAGTGTACAAGTGAAGTTGGTTATTCCATAGTCACCCTGGTGGCAGAGTTGGGATTTGAACCCAAGACAGCACAGAATGTTTTGCCAAGAAAACAAGGTTTCAAGGGACCTTGAAATTCAGCTGGTGGTTTTCAACCTCTTTCCTGTCATAGCGGGTGCTGGTGGGACTAACTGTTGGAAACACCTTGTTCTTGCTGTGGTGGTTGGACATCAGGCAAGGAGAGGGGTGCTGAGGGAACAGGACTCCGGGATAGGTGACTGGGTGGGGACTGTTGTAGGGGCCTTGTGTGCATGGCCACAGGGCCTTGTTGGGCACTATGAGTGTGGTTTGTGACCAGCAGCAGCACATAGCAGGCTGTGTCCATGCGGGGGAGATCCCTCCAGGCTGCCTCATGGGAAGGTGGAGAGGCCGGAAGCCCTGCCTTTCATGGTCTCCCAGTGACTTCCAGTGGACAAGCTCGGGACACTCCTGGCTTCCTGTGTTACTTGGTAAATGCCTGAGGCTTTTTCAGTGGTCAACACAATGTGGCTGCCCCCACCTCCTCCTTTCTCCAGACCCTGCTCTTGCTGCTCCAAGATAGGTAGGACCTCACCCCAGGGCCTTTTCACTGACAGCATCCTCTCCCAGAATCTGCTGGGCTCCCTTCTTCACCTTGAGTCTTTGTTCAAATGCCACCCTTTAGTGAGGCCTACCTTGATCCTGCTTTTAAGTCACAGCTAACTGACACCCCTAGCACTGTCCCTGGCCTCCACTTTCTCTCCTGGTTCCTCTTTACAGCACTCAGCACTCCACATAGTTACTCATCTGTCACAGTGATTGTTGGGCGCCCCCTATTGGGATGAAACCTGAGGACAGGGCTCCATGTGTGTTATTCTTTGTTACCGTGCCATGTACACTGGAAGCAAGCCCTGAGGTGGTGGGGATAAGAGAAAACAGGGAAGCACTGATGTTACCCTGCTGTTGGTCAAATCATGTCTCCAAAAAGAATGTTCAATTCCTGATCCCCAGTAGCTGGGAATGGAACCAACCTCATTTGGAAATAGGGTCTTTGCAGGTGTATTAGTTAAAATGGGGTCACACTGGAGTAAGGTGATCCTAATGCAATGACAAGTGTCCTTATAAGAAAAGGGAAATTTGGACACCAACACACAGTAAGAGGCCATGTGACTATGGAGGCAGACACTGGGATGATGTGGCCACAAGCCAAGGACACCTAGAGCCTCCAGAGTCTGGAAGAGGCAGGAAGAACCCTCCCCTGGAGCCTTGGGAGGGATTGGCCCTGGAACACCTTGATGTCAGATCTCTGGCCTCCATATTGTAAGAGGAAAATTCTGTTGTTTTAAATCCCCATTGTGCCATTGTTATACGATGCTCACAAATTCCAAGTGCCAGAACCTTCCCTGGAGACAAGTGTTAATAGCATCTGGGTTTTGGCTATGAGTCTGTGAGTTTCCTATGATGGCTCTAAGAAGTCACCACAAATGTGACTTAAACAGGATTTATCAGGAGTTCAACACAGCCTCACAGGGCTAAACCTAGGTGTTGGCAGGACTGATCCTTCCCAAGGCTCTAGGGAGAACCGTTTCCAGCCTTTTACAGTTTCTAGAGGCACTGCATCCCTGGCTCGTGGACCTTCCTCCATCTTCACAGTGCATCCTCTTCCACCTCTGACTCTGGCCCTCTTTCCTCCCTCTTAAGAGGACCCTGTAAAGACACTAGTCGCCCTGGGAATCCAGGGTCATCCCCATTCTAGGGACTTTGACTTCATCCATCTGCAAAGTTCCTCTGCTGTGTGAGGCAACATGTCTACAGATCCCAGGACAAGGACGGGGACATCTTTGGGGCTTTTGCTTTGCTGCCCCCAGCATGGCTTAGTCCCATGGTACTCTGTCCCCATAGAAAAGGAGAACAACTTCCCGCCGCTGCCCAAGTTCATTCCTCTGAAGCCTTGTTTCTACCAGAACTTCTCTGACGAGATCCCCATTGAGCATCAGGTCCTAGTGAAGAGGATCTACCGGCTGTGGCTGTGTGAGCAGTGGGGTGGGGTGGGGGGTGGGGTGGGGGCCTCCCTACAGCACTGCAGAGACCCAGGCCAGACCCAGGTCATGAATCTGCCCCGTCCTCAGGCTGGGAAAGTCTGAGGTTTTGTAATAAATCTCCTTTCTGATAAAGTTCTTTCCCAGAGGCAGCATGGTGTGGTGGATGGAGCAGATGGGGCCGCTGGGTGGGAACCTCTGTCCCCCTGAGTCTTCTCTGGCCCGTGGTCCCTGTGCAGTGGGACGCAGGTATCCTGGTGCTCGTGCCCTAATTCTCAAACCCCAGCTCAAGCCTCCTTGTCTCCTCTGTCCAGTCTACTGCGCCACACTGGGGGTCAACCTCATCGCCTGCCTGGCCTGGTGGATCGGTGGTGGCTCAGGAGCCAACTTTGGCTTGGCCCTGCTCTGGCTGCTGCTCTTCTCCCCCTGTAGCTACGTGTGCTGGTTCCGGCCTGCTTATAAGGCCTTCCGGTAAGTGGGGGCCTGGCTGTACCCTTGTGGGGCCTCGGGGTGTCTGTGCTGGCAGTGGGCTCAAACCTGAGTAGCCAGAATGCCCCCCAACCATGTGTGCACATCTCAGTGCCGATTCCGGTGCTCAGGACCTGTGCCTGCTCTGACCTGTCACCCTAGCCCAGGTCTTAGTAATCCTCCCTCTCTCTTGTCCAATTTGGATGACAGCTTATATCAGGTTCACACTACAACCCACAGATGCTTGTTGTTGTGTCTTTTAATAACTCTATTGAGTTATACTTCACATTCCACACAACTCACTTACCTAACATTTGAGTGTTTCTAGAGTCTTTACAATGTTGTATACCCATCAGAACATTCTCACTACTCCAGAAGAAGCTCCATCTCCCTTAGCAGTCACCCCCAGCCCCTGGCACCCATCATGTGAATCTACTTCTTGTGTTGATGGATTTACCTGTTCTGAACATTTCATGTAAATGGACTCACACACTGTGTGGCCTTTTGTGTCTGGCTTCTCTCACTGAACATCATGTGTTCAAGTTCCTTCCACATTGTAAAGAGTGTCAGTGCTTCTCTCCTTTTCATGGCTGAGTAATATTTCAGTGTGTGCATGGACCACATTGTATTTATCCATTTACCAGCTGATGGACACTTGGGTTGTATCCACTTTTGGCTGTTATGAATCCTGTTGCTGTGAACATTTGCCCTCAGCCAGCCCCCTGCTACTTGGGTGTGTGCCATATTTGCCCCTAGATGGTCCCTAAATCCCATCTTTAGGAGGCAGGAGAAAGTCTTAGACTTCTTTCCAGTAGGGAAACCATCAGTACGGCATCTTCTCAGAGGGGCTGTGTTTAGGTCCCTCATGGTCAGAGCCTGGTGTGAGTATGTGTGCAGTAATTCATACAGGTAGATGCATTTGTCATACCTGAAAAGGGGAGAACAGTCCTGTTGCTGTCCCTGCCTCATGTCTTCCTCTGGGTCGTAGTCACTGAGAGGCTGGGGCAGCCTAATGGTCATTCCTCTCACTCTTCAGGGCCGACAGTTCCTTCAATTTCATGGCGTTTTTCTTTATCTTCGGAGCCCAGTTTGTCCTGACCATCATCCAGGCTGTCGGTTTCTCAGGATGGGGTGCCTGGTAAGTCAGTGAATATGGCTGCTGTGATGCATGTTAACTACGTACATGTGAGTGAACGCGTGTGTCATTCAGGGCAGGCTGAGACTATAACATAGACCCCAACTTCTGACAGCTGATGGAGAACAAACATTTGTTTTCTGCTCTTACAAATGCTTCAAGGAGGTGCTGGGTTGTGGGGTGGGGTGTTTGTTCCACTCTGGTACCCAGCGCCTGTGTGTGGAGGCTCCGCCCATGCAATGCTGCAAGTGCTTGGTCGCCAGCCACGTTGGCCACAGGGGAGAAACCAGTAGGTGTGGGCCAGCAGTGTGTCCTAGGAGGGAGAGTTTGGAGAACAGCAACCTGTCACCCCCACCATCTAGAGAGGTCCTGTCTCTGCTTGATTTTAGGGTATCATACAACATTTCCATGGCTGCTGTAACAAATTACTTCTAACTTGGTGACTTAAAATAAAAAAACTTCTCATTTTCAGTTATGGGGAGTCCAACATGGGTCTCATGGGGCCAAACTCAAGTGTGAGCAGTCTGGTCCTTTCAGAGGCTCCGGGGGAGAATCATTTCCTGCTTTTTGCAGCTTGTAGAGGCTCCAAATCCCTGGCTTGTGGCCCTTCTTCCATCTTTGCAGCCAGCAGTGCAGCCTCTTTTATCTCTGACTGTCCTTTCTGCCTCCCTTTTTTGAGGACCCTGTGATGACACAGCCCCTGGGTAATCCAGGGGCATCCCCATTTCAGGGACTTAACTTAATCCTACTTGCAAAATTCCTTTACCACATGAGGTGTCATGTCGACAGTTCCCGGGACCAGGACATGGGCACCATCAGGGCTGTTACAGACCACAGGTGATATCTTTGGCATCCAGTGTTGGATAGGAGGCATTTGGGGTGGCCGTCTTAACACGCACACTGCCTAGGAGTGTCCTGATGTGGTTAGTCTCTTGGTTGATTGTTCTCCGAACATCAGAAGCTCATCCTGTCTGCAGTTACAGCTCCTGATTCAGGGACATTTTCTGTGTAACATCCTCAACTTCTCTTGCTCCACTTTTTCTGGGTCTTGTTTTAGGGTGCCTTGTTGCCATCATTTCCATGCTTTTCCTCCCTGTCACTTCCCTGTGTACACCAGGAGAGCACTGTGGCCCATCCTCCTCAGCAGTGAGAAGTCATGCAGTCTCGTTTGTTCCTCAAGGCTTGTGTGGGTTTCCACAGCCGCTTTAGCCCTCTCCTCTCAGGTTCTTTTTTTTTCCTTTTTTTTTTTTTTTTTTTTTATCCTCACCCAAGGATGTTTTTTGTTCAGATAGAGTAGGAGGGAGAGAGAGAGAAACATCGATGTGAAGGGACACATCGAGTGGCTGCCACCCGCACAACCAACCAGGGCCGGGGACAAACTGCAACCAAGGTACATGCCCTTAGCGGGAACCGAACCCGGGTCTCTCCGGACCGCAGGCCAACGCTCTAACCGCTGAGCCAAACCGGCCAGGGCTCAGGTTCTTTTTTATTGTTGTTGTTGTTGTTTTTTAATCCTCACCCGAGGACATTTTTCCATTTTTTGTTCAGATAGAGTGAGAAGGACAGAGAGAGAGAGAGAGAGAGAAATATTGATGTGAAAGAGACACATCAAGTGGCTGCCTCCCGCATGACCTAACCAAGGCCGGGACAAACTGCAACCGAGGTACATGCCCTTAGCGGGAACCAAACCCGGGTCTCTCTGGACCACAGGCCGACGCTCTAACTGCTGAGCCAAACCGGCCAGGGCTCAGGTTCTTCTTTATAGGCCATTTCCTACTGTGTCTCTGCCCTCCTCTATAGAGTCTTGAAGTCATCTGCTTTTCATCTGAGATAATTTCCAGAATGCATGTCCCTACATCTTCCTGTTGTTGCTCCTTCCTGCTCTTTGTGGACCCTGAATACTGGGTTTCTTCATGGTTGATGCCCTCCCATATCTAGGTCTGGAGGGCTGGTAAGGTGCTGTCCCGGGATCTCCCAGGAGCGGTGATTCGAAGGGAGGACCTCAGACTCTGCAGACAGTTGTTCTCTTGGCTGTGGTTTATACAGATACAGGACAGCAAAATGAACTGAGGGAAAATGTGTGTGGGGCAAGTCAAGGGGGGATCAGGCACAGACTTCCAGAGTTTTCTCCCGGTAGGGTCCCACAGAATGCACTTCATTCCCCCAAAACAAACGTGACAGTGCAGAAGGTGCGGTACCAAGAGTTCTCATGGGGTTGGTCATGTGGACCCCTCTCTGCCTGGCAGGTACAAGATCCTAGACTCCAGGGGGAAAGCAGGTGCTCAGCGTGAACCATGTGTTTGCACAGGTATTTTAGGGCCAGGAGTCAGGGAGGGTGGTAGGAGCCCCCAGAGTTCAGTTCCCAAATGTCCCCCACCATCCTGGTTTCTACTGTGAGCATACACAGGTATCTTTTTTCCCCAGGGCTGAACAGGACAGAGGGAGGGGTGCCAAACAACTGGGGACCTCGGGGAAGGGACTGTGAAAGTGTTTTCCTCTTCTGCGAGATTGAGAGGAGAAAGGTACTAATGATAATGGGTGCTTGTTCAGACAGGGTCTGAGCACCTCTGTGTGTTGACTCATCTGCTTCTCCTAAAGGGATGTCATTACCCTCATTCTGTAGAAGAGGACACTGAGACCCAGGACAGGCAGGGGTGGTGGGAGATGATACCTGAGGCCCTGTCACTTCCTTTGAGTGTATGGCCAGCAGCCCCTCTTGGCTTCCAGTATTCCTGTACTCAGACCTCTGGACTCTGCAGAGGGACATGAAGGACATTGTGCTTGGTCCCTTGGTCTCCTCTGGGCCTGGAGCTGGGACCCCAGGGTGCTGCAGCTCCAGAAACCTGTAGTCCCTTTCCCAGAGACTCTCCCCATCCTCCTGGATTCTGGTGGCTGGCAGCCCCCAAGCTCACCACCTGGGGACATGTAGACTTCAGGCTCCCATGGGGACTTTCTGGTATGGTGAGAGCAAGGACCAGTAGGGACAGTTTCCTGGAGAAACTTTCAGCTCATCCCCAAGCAGAGGGGATACTCTCAGGAGTGCCCCTGTCACAGTCACCCACTCCAGCCGGTCCTATGTCATATGGACCTGTCACTCCCTACACACTCTGTGATCTTCTCTGCAAATGCATTCCTGTGAATCTATAAAAGAGAGGGACACTAAGAATATATGAACATATATATAAATATGACCACAATGCTGTCTCACACGTAAGATTTCCACAGTTGTTCCTTAACACTCTCAGGTGCTCAGAAGTGTTCATACAATTATATGAGGATATGATTATTAATTTTTTTAGAGAGATAGGGAGAGAAACACTGTGAAAGAGAAACATCAATCAGTTGCCTCCCTTACGTGCCCTGACCAGAGATCAAACCTGCAACCTAGGTATGTGCCTTGACTGGGAATCAAACCCACAACCTTTTGGTGTACTGGCCACCCTGCCCAGTTTTCCTGTTTCTTTTTACTTATTTACTCTTTAACTTGTTTGTTTATTTTTTAGTTAATCCTCACCTGAGGATATTTTTTTCATTGGTTTTTAGAGAGTGGAAGGGGAGAGAAGGGGAGGAAGGGAAAGAGAGAGAGAGAGAAACATCTCTGTGAGAGAGACATGTCAGTTGGTTGCCTTCCACTCGCGCCCCTACCAGGGCCAGGGATTGAGCTCGTAACCCAGGCAAGTGCCCCTGACCAGCAATTGAACCCTTGACCCTTCGGTGGAAGGGCTGACACTCTAATCACTGTGCCACACTAGCCAGGATCTCCTGTTCCTTTTTATTTTTATTTTTTTGGGTGAGCTACTCTGGAATCCAGCCACACAATCCAAGTCCCAACCTGAGTCACAATCCAAGTTACGACCTGAGTTGTGGCACCATAATGTTGGAGGCCGCATAAAGGCATGGGGAGTTAGACCGCTGGGGTCACACCTGGTTTCAGCGATCTCAGTACTTGAGTTCTGGCTAGGAAAGAATTCAGAGCCAAGACACAAATTAGAAGTGAACATTTATTTGGAAAATCACAGAGGTAGAAGTAATTTGTAGAAGAAATGGGCTTAGGAAATAAACGACAGAAGGGCCCTTGGAGCTTGGGAGTGAGGAAGGTAATGGTAATGGGCCTGAGTGGAGGGAGAGGGAAAAGGGGAAGGTGCAGGCATGCTCCCAGGAAGGAGAATGCTCCTGTTCCTGTGTTTTTAGGGGCCATGCCAATCTTCTCTGTGTCGTTCCAATTTTAGTATGTGGGCTACCGAAGTGAACACTCTGTTCCTTTTTATTTTTATTTATTTATTTATTTTTATTTTTATTTTTTGGTACATGCCCCCCAGCGGGAACTGAACCCTGGACTCTCTGGTCTGCAGGCCGATGCTCCAATCGCTGAGCCAAACCGGCCAGGGCTCCTGTTCCTTTTCAAATAGTCTTTAGCCCTGGCCAGTTTGGCTCAGCAGTTAGAGTATCGGCCTGCGGTCCAGAGAGACCCGGGTTCAGTTCCCACTAAGGGCGCGTACCTCGGTTGCAGTTTGTCCCGGGCCCTGGTTGGTTGTGCGGGTGGCAGCCGCTCGATGTGTCCCTTTCATATCGATGTTTTTCTCTCTCTCTCTCTCTCCCCTCCTCTCTCCCTCCCACTCTATCTGAACAAAAAATGGAAAAATGTCCTCGAGTGAGGATAAAAAATAAAAATTTTTTAAATAGTCTTTAAACCTTGGTTACTTTGAGGTTTACAGAAGGTGTAGAGACAGGACAGAGCACTGCCATCCACCTGTCACCATGACACCTTTGCTCCCACCCAGAGTGCAAAGTCCATTTGCATTTCTGCAGGATATCCATGAAATTCCCTTTTCTTTCAATATTTATTTATTTATTTATTTATTTATTTATATTTTTGTTACAGATGTTTCTCCTTTTTTACCCCATTGGCACCCTCCTCCCCCTTTTTCTTGAATATTTTTATTTTTGTTAATCTTTTTTTATCCTCAACCAAGGACATTTTTCCACTTTTTGTTCAGATATAG